ATTCTCCTCGTCGATGAGCCGGACGCCTTCAAAATTGATGCAATGGTCCATCTTTTCGCCCCCGCAGGTCGCGGGTTTGAATCCCGGTTGCGGCGGTTGCATTTCCGATGGAGGTGAAAATGTTGTAGGCCCGTGTGCTCAGATTTGGGTGCACGTTAAAGAACCCCAGGTGGTCGAAATTTCTGGAGCCCTCCACTACGGCGTCTCTCACAATCATATGGTGGTTTTGGGACGTTAATCCCCACATATCTATCAATCAATGATCTTTTCGCCGTGCTCTGCGAGAGCGTTTCGCACAGCGTTGAGGGTACGCTCGTCGTTTCGATGATGCCATATCCCGAAGCAATACTTTTTTGCAGACTCGTTGGTTCATACTTGAATAATTGAATTGCTGCACAAACTTGAAGGAAAACAAGGGAGACAGGAAAGAGCACGGACTACCAACTGTTTATTGTTGATGTGGAAGAACTTTTTTACTCAATTCCACATGGCGCGCTTTTTGATGCTGTCAGGAGTGCAATCGAAGAATTCGGTGAAGTTAATTTCCAAAACAAGCATGGTATCTTCGTGAATAACTTTTTGGAACTTCTGAAATTCTACCTTGAGTCCACTGCAATCAGCCACCAGGAGGGTACCTACGTCCAAAAAGCTGGAATTTGTATTGGTTCTGCAGTCGCGCCTGTTCTCAGTGACATATTCTTGGCAGCCTTTGACCAACGCCTGAAGGATCAGATGTCCCATTTGGATGTCGTTCGCACCTTCAGGTATGTGGACGACTACCTTATCGTGCTTGGGAAGGTCCCATGTGAACGGGTACAAGGTGTTGTGAAAGGTTTCCTTAAGGTTTTCAACAGACACTTCAGTGGCCTGAAGTTCACGCACGAAATGCCGGTCGAAATAAGATCCAGTTTCTGAACCTATGGCTGAGGTTTGCCAAGGAGCACATCTGCTTCAAATACAATCCGCGATCGAAGAAAAACTTGTTGCCTTTTGATAGCGCGCACTCGAAGTTGATTAAGAGGGGCATTGTGTTGTCAGCTTGTGCGGCAGCCCTCGAGAAGTCTTGCCCTCATCTGATATTTGAAAGCTTCGAGAATCAGGTAGCTCGTCTGGGCGCGGCTGGATACCCAGCGCAGTTTTTAGCTAGCGCTTGTGAATACCTTCTTAAAAAATACAAGGGCGGGGTCCAAGCGTCGAAGGAAGGGAGAGGAAGGCCTATTTATGTTATGCCTTACTTACATAATGTTTTCCACAATGTAAAAAAGGTGGCTAATAGATACGGTGTTGATGTACTGTTTTCAGCTCCTACAAAGTTACGTCAGATCTGTTCGTTAATGACTAAACAGAAGAAGGCAAAATGCACAAAAAAGCATGCGAACGTGTTCATTAGGTGTGTATTTGCTGTTGTATATCTGATCTCTTTGTCGTGTGGGAGGGTGTACATAGGGCAGACGGGGCGTTGCCTCTACGAACGCTTGCGTGAGCACAGTCTGGCCGTAAAATGAAAAAATGGTGGTCATTTAGATTTCCATTGTAGCACATGCGGTGGCACCCCCCGGTTTGAGAATGCGTCAGTCATGGCTAAGGCACGTGAAAACACCGAAAGGGAGATTATTGAAGCGTAATTTATCAGGCAATATAATGACAAGTGCATAAGCATGCCTTCAATTTTACTTTCGGACCGGGAAATGGTCTTCCTACATGGTCATGTGTAATGTTGTGGCTAACGCCTTGCATTGTGTTCTCTTCCATTTCTCTTCTTTTGTTTTGTTCATTAGTGTTCTTGTTTTATTTCCCATGTGACACTACGTAATGTTTTGTAAATTTTTATGTTATTATAGTTTTTGACTCTCTCGGCGTACTGCTTCTTCGGGTTGCTTAATTGGGGCTGTTCGGAGTGAATATAAAATTGTTATTTTATTGTTGTATTCGGTGCTAAGCGCTAATTTTAATGTTCTTTAAACAAAAATCTCTAGAGTACGTTTTCATTTTTTCACGCCTTTGTTGATGCTTGGTGCAATAAATAATAAAAGATAATTTTAAAAAAAGATGAGCGCACATCTTGGGAATGCGCAGCTTAGATTGTGGTTGGTATCACTTTTGTATTTTGCCATTTTATCAGTTTTGTCATTGTGGCGGCAGTCAATTTTGATTTGATTTGTTTTGGGTCGGCTTCGTTTGCGGCATCTTTGGTTTTGTGCGCATCGTGGAAGCGCAGCGTAGCATGCGTATATATCAGCTTCAAGAAACGACAATAAACAGTTGGTAGTCTGCGCTCTTTCCTGTCTCCCTTGTTTTCCTTCAAGTTTGTGCACCAATTCAATTTTTCATGTCATATCCTTTAGTGGAAGTTTTTTTTGTTTCACCGATGTAAGTGGCTTGGCAGCCTGTGCATTGAATTTCGTAGACCAGCACAAGGAATCTTTCTTTCGGCAGTTGGTCTTCTTTCGTTCGCGACAAGAATCGTCCTATTGTTGAGACGTGTTTGTGCGCCAACTGCCCCTTCCCAAACAAGAACAACAACAACAACAACAACAACAACAACAATGGCGGAAAGGACGAAAGAGAGGGTGAAAACACAAAGAAAAATTGCTAGCTGCGGATCCGGCTGAAGAGCGAACAGCCACCTTTCAAGAAGGGGCTGAATCGGTCCTGAAACGTCGGATCAACTTGCAGTTTTTAAGTTTTATCTAATTATAAACTTAGGATTGTAGGTTGGCTGGAGTGTTTATGTTATTGTAGGTGACGTCTTACTCGTGTATCAAAGACGCATTTGAATGCAACATTTACGCTTTCAAATGCCACTATCGTGAAATCTAGGACGCCAACAGTATAATTTGGTGAAGATACGCACAGCTTTCCTGCACCGTTTGATAGCGTCGGTCGGTATTTCTACTCTCCCTTCTCAGATTCAAGCAAACGACGATTCATGCGTTATCATTGTATTGCGTGTGCACGATGCTTCTTGTTGCTGAGGAGGAACGAGTACGAATGTTGAAGTCAACTTACTCGACGACAGCACCATGTTTCAAACGGTGGAGTCTTCGGCCGCTTTCTGCCGGCGCGAAGCACATACTTTTTTGTTTACGCGTCACCTATAGAGCATGAACTTTTCTAAATATCAGTGTGTTTCAAACACAAACAACGTGGGATAGTCACCAAGGGTGCTTTATCATCGCAAAGCGTTCTGACACTTGAGATGTATGATCATGATGTTCATTTTTACAAATTTTGGGCACATTTCTCTAATTAGCGCTTCATTGTTTCCTTTGGAATGACTATAGTAGATTGGTTGAATCTACTTCTGATAGTGCAGTGTTGTGACCCTTGTCCACCTACGAAATATCGTAGGAAGACGTAGGCGAAATGTAAATAAAAAATTGGCCCCGTATCTGCATGTTACACTGCAAATGTTGTCGAAAGACGATAGTCTTGCGTCGAAGAGAGTGAACAAAACGTTTATCGGAGGTTCTGCGCAAGAAAATTGGTGGATGGTATACTGGAGGCGCTGCGTTAGAGTGCCTCGAGCATGTAGTGGGGGCGAACGAGTGCATCAAGTTACGTCACACGTGAGACATTCGCGCCATCTGTCAGTTATTTTGAAAAACGAAGCGCGCACGCCTTGTGCGCCCGTCTCGGATGTTGCAAAGTGTAGAACGCAAGGCGACGGGTAGGTGCCACTACCGTGTCGTCTTAGGAAAGCGTTGGAAACCCTTGCCTTTTCGTGCAAGTGTTGTCTGGTCAGCGCAACGTGATAAACGCTACGGTCCTTATAATTACTTCAGTATGCCTTTTCTAGTAAGAGACACACATACAGAATTTTGACGTGTTGTTGTGGTGCCTCAGATATGCGCAATAATTGCTTATTAATTGACAATTGCACAAGTATGAACGCTGAATCTTGAGCATTATTGGTAGGCGCTGCGGATGGGGTCGGCCGTTTGGAGTATCGTTTGGCCACTTTGTTGCCTTTTAGAGTAAAGTTAAGGGCGGACAAACAGACAGACAGACAGACAGACAGACAGACAGACAGACAGACAGACAGACAGACAGACAGACAGACAGACAGACCGACAGACAGACAGACAGACAGACAGACAGACAGACCAACATTTTTGCGCCGAAGGTCCCCAAGAAAGACTATCGTCTTAATGAGTGGCTCACGGATCTGCTGGTGCCGTAATCCGCAGCAAGGAACCAGTCTTAGGCCACGTTAACACTTGGGAAGTCAAGAGAAAATGAGAATGCCAGAGCAGCAGGAAAACCACGACCGCGCACGTCGTCACATTCTCTCTACCCCAGCCCGACGCCGTTGCCGTCGCTACCTTGACAATTATTTCGATTTTGCCTGCTTTCTGAGAAATAAAGTTCGTATGAGAGTTATTGACGCAAAGTAGTGAAAAGAAACAGCTCACACTTATCGAAACATCGTTTCTGGAGGTTTCGGGAGTTAGGCCAGTAGAAATGACACATGCGAACGCACCGGCAGCGGCGGAGTGGTTTCAACCAGCCGTACACAAAAGCGAGACATGTTGGGGCATGCCGACTCGCTGCCGCTGCGCCATCTACTTCCAGAGCTCTCGATGAACGCGTCCTCGTTGAGGCCATCAATCTTCTTCGTGCTGCACGGGTAATTTTCGATGTGAGTCGATGCGAGGCACCACCGACCCCTGCGACGCCATGTTGAATCTCCGGCCAGCTGGTTAGGCCACGTGGTTTGATCTAGCGCAGCCAAGGCTGTGAAGCGGAAACCAGATCCGGTTGCGCGTGGCGCGAAAATCGGTCTGGGAGCAGTTCATGCGCGCCAGCTGCGCGGCATGGTTTTTTGACTGCTCGGGCGGCTAAACGAGCCAGTTTCCTGAGAGTTTCGCCGGTTTTGCTCTTTTAGAGGCCAAGTGTGAACGCACCCTTAAGGTGGCGCCCTTCCTTCAGAATATTATTCCTAAACGAGCCGCAGAGCATGCCTGAAAATGAAGACATGCTTTTTTGTTTGCCCGCAGCAGCCGGCGTGTCGTCCGAATACAACCCGGAGGTGGCCGTGGAAGAGGTTGGCCGCCTGTTCAACCTGCTCTTCCCGCTGGTGCTGCCTGACAAGATGCCATACTCGTGGCCCAGGGGCGCGACCAGGGCGGCCTCCTCGTCTGTGGACGCCTCGGACGCGGCGCTGGCCCAGGTGGCGGCCGCAGGAGGGTTCGGCGGCCAACGGCGGAACCCCGACGACCCCGCGTCGCTCAACCTACCAAAGCGGGGCGAGTCCGAGTGTCTGAGCCGCTGCATGAGCCAGCGCAAGCTGCATCCCATCCAGTGCCTCAACATATGCTGAGCGATCAGGCGAGTGGCACGAAAAATATTCGAACCAAATGAACGCCTATTCTGATACAGGGCTTCAAACGTGCAAGCTCAGCGTCACTCAAGGTGGGAAGAAACCCAAAGCCGCATCTGGGTTACCAGCCGTTACTACCATAAACTTTATTGAATAACGAAGGGGGAAAATGTGTGATCATGACAGGTGACCTGAGTCTGTCGCTGTGGTGTATACGGTGCTCACCCGAAGGTCGCTGGTTCAATCCAGGCCGCGGCGGACGAAGGCGAAATTCTGCGTTGCCAGGCCCCTGTTGGTCGGAATTGGCGGGGCTCCTCATAGCGTGGTGTGTCATTTTAAGCTGGTCAGAAACCTAACTTTTCAGTCGACAGTTTTGACCAGGCTCTGGTCGAAACTGTCGAAATAAACGCTTCTGTGGCTACCGTTCTCACAGAGCATCAATGAAGCTCAGCTGAAACTGTCTAATGCATGAAAACTTTATCTTTTTGAAATAAAATATCACCGCCAGCTCTCGCTATCATCAATATCTAGGTCGTCTCCAAACTAGACATTCAACGGATACATCTACCATAAAGGAACTATCGATGAGGTTGAACAAGCAGCAACTTGAAGGACCAATTCTGTAATCCTATTGAAAGAGAGAGCGCCTAACGTCCGTTTAGATATGGCAGTTCGCTTTAACTACAGATTTATTTCCATCTTCTTTCAAGCGACAATTTTCACAAACATAATACACTGGATGTTCATTTTCAAAACTGCGCTACAGTTACTGCGAAATATTATGTTAAGGAGAAAACACGAAACGAAGTGGACCTTGCAAGCACAAACTATCAGCCCAATTTATTTGAAATACCTTTGAAGGAAAGAAGACATCGAGGAAAGAGAAAGATCGGTTTTCGAAGTAGAGATGGGCGGCAATCTTGCTGTACTCTACGATCTTGAGCTTCATTTGGTGTCCCCTTTCTAGCTTCGTACTTTTTAATCATTTTTATGAATGTTTTTGTACATATCTCACAGTTATTTCATTATTTACTGTCATGGGCAACTATGCCTGTTTTTATAACTTTGTAAGCTTCTGTTTGTTTGTTTTTTAGTGAAGAAGGCAATCAGGCTGTGACAGCATGTTTTTTTTTTTTTCCTCTTTGCACCAAATCACATCTACAATGTGTTTTCATGTAGTTCTCACGTGGTTGTATGAATTTGAACTCAAGATCAGAGAATTAATGATACCTAACGCAATTGCTTGTACTGCAACAAATAAAACATTTCAATCAATAAGTAATATTAACGTCCCAGAACCACGCTATGATTATCTAGATTATCTGGTGTTCTGCAACGCGTGCTGGCCTCCACCGAAAGGTGCGGCCGGCATCGAACCCGCAACCTTCGGGTCACCAGCTGAGCAGCCTAATACCGACACCAGCCAAGTGTAGTTTCTCAATCAGTAACAGAATACTACAACATACACTACGCCACTCAATATACCACATTAAGAAGTATTTAAACAGTACCGATTTCCGTGGTGAAGAAAATAGAGGATAATAGCGCAGATGTAGCACAACTAATCACACGAAGGCGCAAATTGGAAGTGATTATTCTGGCAATGCTGATTTCAGAAATTGCCAGTACCCTATCGGCGTTCCCAATTTCCCCGCTCAGTTGGGTAGGGTAAGCACGTAAGCGGGCAATGGACAACGCGCAGAAAATATCCCACCACTTTGAAGACGCAGTTCGATCACGGCAATCAGAGTTACCGAAAAACTACAAGCCCGATTTCTTTTGTTCTACTTCTTAGCGTTGCTTTCAGACACTCTCGTCAAGCAAGTTTACAAGTCCTTAAGAACTAAATTTGGTCCACAGAAACAGGCCCACCATGATGACATGTGCTATATATATATACATGGGACGCTTAGAAGCCTTCACACAGCCGAACTGAAGATAGCGGGTTTAATCAGATGGTAGCTGCATTTCGAACGAGCAAAATGCAAAAGATGCTCCCGCGCGCATATTAGGATGCACATTTGAGAAATCCCGGAGGTCGGAATTGGTCGAGTGCCCCGCTTATCGGCGTGCCTCAGAATCAAATGGAGATTTCGGCACCACAAAGCCACAAAACCGAAATTATTCCATGAACTGGTTCTAGCCAAAGCAAAAGTTACGAAGAAAGTATTTTTATTTCAAAAAGTGCGAAGCAAGATTGATGCACGCTCGCCTTTTCAAGTGACGAGATGGAGTTTCAAAGCAGCTCCACACCACTATACTGACGCGGGATAATTGTGGCAACTACTTTGAGACTTTACTGTACAAAACGTATTCACGAGTAGGAGGTGTGGCAACACTGCATTCACGGCTTTCATCCGTTTTCTTGAAGCAGCAGTGAATTTCTTCGCACATTTCTTGTTTCTGAACGCGGGCGCTTCCTTTTTCGTTAAATGTAAAAGTTGCAGCTATTTCTACATTTCTTTTTTCTTCTCTGAAGATAACAGCGAATGAACGGCTGGAAACATTGGTTAGGTGAGCTACTATGGCGAGCAAACTCAGCTTATAACAGATATACTCAATTTCCTGAGACGACGTTTCCTTCTGCTAATAGCTCTTGTTAGAAAATGCGAGCACGGTCAGTACGTTTTAGTGAAGATATGCCACTATCACGTTTCGAGGCGCCATTGCTGTCGTCTCTTTGACATGGGTAATATAATGACTCGTGTTGACTTCATCAAAGCTGTAGTTGCTTGAATGATTGATGATGTGGCACGGGTGCTGCGGCTTAGCGTGAGAAGCTACAACGCGGACGGCACATGCATCCACAGGCACGTGCAGACACACAATGACTTATAAAATAAACCTTCATCGAATATGCAAATGTCATGTAAATTTATGCATACAGCTAGAAATTCATTCAAACTGCCCTATTTTTTGTGTGTGCTCGAGCGGTGTTATACCTGCCCTGCTTCGCATGTTTTCATACAACGGCTGTTTCCATAGAGTTCTGCGTCCAAACAAAACGCGACCTGAAGATGATTCAGAATAAGCAAGAGCCAACCAAAGCGAAACACTTGCTCCATACACGCCTACTTCCTATTCATGCACTTCTATTCCACATAAGGTCAGTTTAGGCGAAGGTTCTCACGCGATCGGGCATTCCTTCGGTGAACATCATGTCATTTGGCAACGCTCTTCCTAATGTCCGTACGGCGAAAACTGTAGATGCGGCGAAAAAAGTGCTACACGAAAAATGGGTTCAACGGGCCGGTCCCACAGTAATTTACATATTCAAGTTTTCTTGTTTTCGTTTTGTACAGTCATTGAAAAAAAAAAAGAGAGAAACTGACTTAAGGGAGCTGAAATCATTTCGATCGAGTCCGATGCCGTGACATCACCAAAAAATCTGCCCTTCAGGCCATGAGACATTCTATGTATTCTTTAGCAAAAATTTTTAATCACGCATTTCGCTAGTCAAGTTACCGGATTTCATGAAATTCGCAATGGTGGTTCGAATTCACATAAATGGAGACTTCCCAAAACTACCGGCCGATATCTACATTAAGTGCCATAAATATGGTGTTCGAAAAAGTTCATTCAAAACAGCTACTGAATTTTCTCGATCAAAAGTCTGTACAAACAAATACCCTACATGGTTTTTGGAGCAATTGATCAACTTCAATTATAGAGCTATTTCGTTCAGGTATGGTCTACTTTTACATAGACGAAAACATGATAGTAATTGATGTCTTCATCCATGTTACAAAATCTTTCGGCACTGTTCAACATGATATACTACTTCACAAATTAGAACGGTGTGGCATAGGAGGGGGAAGAGTTCTTTAAAAACTACCTTCCGAACCGACCGCAAACAGTTCATTTTTGCAACACTAATTCAGGATTTTTCGCGCATTACATAGGGAGTACCACAGGGATCGGCCCATCTTATTTTCTCTGTACATGAATGACCTTCCTTCAATATTACCACTCTAGTCATGTACGCTGAGGACACTGCTCTCATCTGCGCATACGAGACCATCAATGGAGCCTTAAGCACGTCAAACAAAAAAAATTAAACAAATTTGTGATTGGTTTCAAGGCAATAAAGTGCCTTTAAATGTTAGTAAACTAAAATACATGGTAATTCACTCCCCATAAAACTTATTGATCTGGACTCATGTGTGCTACAAACTGAGAGCGAAGACATAGAAAGATCAAGTATATAGCTTAGAATTGTGTTGTCATTTTAACTGGAAAATACACACTCTTGAAAGTTCGCGACAGTCTGCTGTACGCTTTTCAAATGTCGCTAGTACTTCGATGCGGCAACTACAAAAACAACACACTTTGCCCTATTTCACCGCCAACAGTCGTATTGTATTGTATCTTAGGGCCAAACATATGACTCAAGCCTAAAGCCACTTACAGTCCTGCAAGAACGTGCTATCCTATCAAACGCAAACTATATGTCCGCATATAAATCCTTCTTTCGAATGTATCGAATAGTGCGTCTACAACTAGTCCTTAGTTGTAAAAATCGTTCACAAGTCTCTAGCAAGCGACGTTCCTCTTCAGCACCTCCTTTTTGTGCGTTAACAATTACACATAAGAGCTTGAAATCATGGTTGAATTGTTTATGGAAAAGGGCGACTTTACGGCGTTAGAACGTCATCGTGTAATAACCTACTAGTGCAAGTAAACAACCCAGTGCTTGCATATTGAAGCTCAAATACCATTGCAAAGAGCTCTACTGGTATGTTTAGTGACATGATGTTAAACAATGTTTTGTATGATGAACAAGAATGCTGTTAACAGATGTAGAGAAATATTATATGTATCAATACGTTCCCTATGCAACCCACAACCTGTTCAAACTCTACTGTATAAGTCGGATTTTCTTTTCAATGCGCTCTGTATCTTTGTACAGGCCATATGCTTTTCAAAACAATCTGCATCTTAAGCTAGAATGTCGTTCATTGTAAAACTCTGTCTCCTGCCTGTAATTGGATCCATACTAGCATTCTGTT